GAGGAGAGGGAGGAGGGGGAGGAGGAGGAGGGGGATGAGAAGGAGGAGGGCGAAGGGGAGGGGGAGGAGGAGGAGGGAGGATGGGGAGGCAGAGTGGAGGGGGCGGAGAAGGAGGAGGCTTTCCGGACCCTCCCTCCCCCGCCACCCCCCCCCCCGCCGTGCAAGGGCATTGGGGGACCGGGAATGTGGGCCAGCGTTGAGAGTCCCCCCAGCGGGGACACGTGGGGACACGCAGGCCAGCCTGGCTGCGCCCGCGGACTCCTAGTGACGGTTCGGGGACACAGGGGGGTCCTGAGGGCACCGCACCGGGACCGGCGTTGGCAGGGACCGGATGGCACCACGGGGTCCAGGCTCACACAGGGCCGGACCCCCCGGAGGCGGGGTGGCGCCGCCCAGCAGCCAGGACCCGCCTGGGGCGGGGGTTGGGGCGGGGGCTCAGGGGGCGGCGCGCTCACCTGCGGCACAGCGCGACCCCCAGCCCCAGGGCCAGCAGCGCGCCCAGCGGGATCAGAGCGGAGGTCAGCCAGTCTCGGAAGTGCGTGTCCTTCCCGAGGTCGCACTCTAGGGGAGGGGGAGGGGCGCGTCGGCGTGTCCCCGGGGTCGTGGTTCCTCCAGGAGCCAATGCTTCCCGCCCGCCGCCCCCCTCCCCCATGCAGCAGGCTCTCGGTGCGCCCAGGCGGGGACAACGTCCACCTGCCCCTGCGGGGTGCCTCCCATGGGGCCGGCTGCACCAGCCCCAGCCCCCAACCCCAGGCCCCAGGTGCCAGCCGGACAGGCTCACACCCCAGCCCTCAGCCCCCAGCCCTCACCCCCCAGGGCCCACCGGGTAGCCGGTCTTCTAAGCCCTCGGGCTCCCCGTGACAGCGGGGGGTCCCTGTGGGGGGGTGCCACCACCTACTCCCACAGGCTGGGTGGCCTGAGAGCAGACTTGTGTGCCTTCCAGAGCCCTGGAGGCCGGGGCTTGGAGATCCAGGCGGGGCGAGGCTGGTTCCTCCCGAGGCCCTTCTCCTTGGCTGGTGGAGGCCCTGCTCTCCCTGTGTCCGCACCTGGCCGTCCCTCTGCGCGTGTCTGTGCCCTCAACTTCTCTTCTTGAAAGGACCCCAGTCCTATGGGGTCAGGGCCCACCCCACTGACCTGGTTTTACCTTAATCCTCTCCTCAAAGACCCCACCTCCAGATACAACCACATTCTCAGGTCCTGGGGGGGTGAGGACTTCAACATATACATTCGCGGGGACACATTTGAGTCCACGACAGAGAGTCTGCAGAAATGATCACGTCAAGACGAAGCCCCAGTGGAATACGATGGGCCCTGATCCCATGACTACTGTCCTTATAGAGACAGGAAATTGGGGCAGAAACACACAGGAGAAGCCATATGGAGACAGGGGCTGAGACACGAAGCACGTGGCCACAGGTCCAGGGATACCTGGAGCCCTAGAAGCTGGAAGACGCGGGAGGGACCCTGCCCTGGAGCCTCTGGAGGGAGCACAGCCCTGCCCACTTGGATCTCAGCGGTCCTGCCCTGCCTGGATCTCAGCGGACCTGTCCCACCTGGACCTCAGTGGCCCGGCCCTGCCTGGATCTCAGTGGTCCTGCCCTGCCTGGATCTTACTGGCCCTGCCCTGCCTGGGTCTCAGAAGCCCTGACCCTCCTTGATCTCAGAGGCCCTGCCCTGCCTGGATCTCAGCGGCCCTGCCCTGCCTGGATGTCAGTGGCCCTGCCCTGCCTGAATCTCAGTGGCCCTGCCCTGCCTGGATCTCAGTGGTTCTGCCCCTCCTGGATCTCAGTAGTCCTGCCCCTCCTGGATCTCAGGGATCCCGCCCCTCCTGGATCTCAGTGGTCCT